CAAGGGAACCTAGGGAGGTGGCCTGGGGCCAGGCTGTGAAGGCTCTGGTGGACCAACTGGATGGAATCCCATACGTAAAACAGGTTTTGTAGCTGGGATGGGACACGACCAGATTTTTATCTCGGTAAGCAATCAGGAGGATGGGCTGGGGAGGGAAGGGGTGGGATGAAGCGAGATGCATCATTTATCATCCTACAACGTTATAGTGCCTTTTGCTTTTGAAACATTTTTTTTTTTTTTTTTTTTGGTGGTTGGCCAGTATGGGGATCCAAACCCTTGACTTTGGTGTTATCAACACTGTGCTCTAACCAACTGAGCTAACCAGCCAGCCCTGCTTTTGAATTTTAAAATGGCTATCAACTGAAACACCAGTCTAGGGGAAAATAATCCCATGACTGTAAAATAAAACATCACTGCAGCCTCCCTGCTGATCCAGTCCATGTCCTCACATAATTTTACAACACTATAATTGCTGTGTACACACCATTTTGCCTATTCAGTTAAGGCATATTTAAAGCATATGTCCATGGATCAAAATGGTTCAAATTCTGCTTAAAGGTCAGGACAGAAACAGTCTTGCCAAAGCATGTTTACTGGCTGTAGAGTACTCTACTATACCGACACAATGGGGTTTGCTTATCAGATTGTTTTCAAAAGTGGGATTCCAAAATCAAAATGTTTATCACATACTGCTAGTTGCTCTCCAAAAAGATTAGTTCAACTTACAAACTCACCACCAGCAAAAACATTGCCTAGAAAACAACCAAACACTGGGCTTTATCATATTAAGTTTTGTGGGCTTCTCGACTTTTCATCTTCCTGCTGCCTAGGTAAAACACCTGTGTCAACAAATACTCTATTGTCAAATGACACCACAGATCCCAATTTCGGAGAACATAACTGGAGTCACCTCAGCTCAGCACCCAACTTTACAAAGGGGTTTTGCCTGCACACTTAGCACTATGCTGTGTGCACGAAGCTCATGACACACCGAGTAGAAGGGGAAGCTGGTGAGCAGATATGCAAGTGGGTGAAGGATAGACCCGAACGAGACTGAAGGGGTGAGCAGCAGTAAGAAAAATGTGTCACTGTCTGAACACTGAAGGGTTGTGGACAGGACAAGAAACAGGGGTGTTTGGAAAGAAAGGAGAGAACACAATTCCTGGGGCGAAATGGATTTAAACAGGCTTGCATGGAATTACCCTTGCATTAATCTTTGCTTTGGCAATCTAGTTCATATCCTTCCTTCCAAGCAGGGTAACTCTGCTTAATTATTGCCTAACTCTCTGTCAATTGTTTTTTGTAAAAATCCAGGGCTGGCTAGTTCTACTGTCTACGCAGATTGTTCTTCCGCTTGATAATAGTAATGGCTAACATTTATTAAGCACTTACTGTGTGCGAGGCATCTTGCTACCAGTTTTTTTATCGACTCTCGGTTCTCACAACAACCCTTGAGGTAGGTGAATTTTAGACCATCTTATGGATAAGGAACCTGAGGCAGAAATAAGTGAATATTCCTTATATCAACTTCCCTGTTGGGACAGGAATTAGTACAGAAGAAACCTGTAAGTCTACTAAAAGCTGATAGTACTGTATGTAAGTGAGCCAGCAAACTTCCGCAGTTCAGGAAACCAACTGCGCCATCAGCATCTAGCTCACTGGTAATGAACCAAGTAATGAGAATCCGCAATAAAGCCAGGGCAAAGAGAAGTATGGGCGGATGAATGGCTTTGTGAATACCCGCAGGTGTAATTCTAAACCCGTCATTCCACTTGGCTGAGTCTCCCATTCCTCTGCTTTAAAGTGGGGCTGTGCAACCTGGCCATGCTGCCTTTGAAGATTTCAGGAGAAAAAAATAACGGCATGAAATGTCTTCTGATACCCAGGAACCCGCAAAAACTTTTCAAAAAGCAGCAGATACAGAAAAGTAAAATTACATTTGGCCTACAGGTAGGTACACGTTCCTCCACGCCTTCTTACCTCGAACTCCTCTCCCATCTCTCGGGCAGTGAGAAAATTGTGTCTCCTGTTCTAACGCAGTCTACACAAGACCAGCACTCTAACCCAATGCCACCCGATGGTTATCACACAACTCCACAGTGGTGCAGCCAAAACTACCTCAGGGAAAGAAAGCAAACCCAGAGAGAAGAGCCACCCTTTACAGATTTAGCCCTGGGCTTAAAATCTTTCCATCTTTTACTGTGTACTGATATTTCCTTCAACGATGCCATGTTTTAACTTCTGTTTTTCACAGGTGTTACTGGCACATGAAGAGTGAGCAGAGGTCCCCAATTTTCACGGTTTTCCCTTAGTAGGCTTCCCACTAGCTTAGGCATACTTCTAGGCCATAATGGCGTAGAAACATTAACAGGTAACACTTGCTTCCCACTTCTGAGGTGCAACTGAAGGAAAGGCTGAGACGGTCAAACAGGGAGTGGCTACGCGCCCTCGGGCTCCCACCTGTGGCTCCTGACAGAGCTTCCCAAGGCCGCCGCTCTGCTCCTCACTGGCCTCCGCCGGCGGGGCACCCCCGGGCGTCCACGCGGGACACTCCCTGGTCCTCTGGCCCCGCCGGCCTCCGTGGGGCTGGCTCCCACGGACGGGCGCTCCTCGAACGGGGACCCGCTAGGAGATCCCGCCGCCTTGCGAAGGCCTTCGGAGCGCCGGCGTGGACCTCCTCTCCTGGACGCCGGCCTCAGCGCTCCGACCGGCCGCGGCCTCAGCGTCCGCCCC